ATTTATTTATGAATACAAGAGTTGGGTGGGCCAGAGGTGTTGGTATGGGGGTAGGATTCACCAGAGACACAGTGGGGAGCAGCACAGGCAGACCTACTGAAATCCACTGCTGAGGGGGCAGCAGGAAGACAGGAGAGGTCTGCTGTACCATATGGGTCACTCCCTGGCCGGGGACCAAACTTGGGCTGCAGGGCTGGGGACAGCTCATAGTGCTGAGGTTTAACCCTTCAACTAGGGAGGCCCAAGGGCACTCACTGTATTTTAACAGCCATGGTGGGTCAGGAAACAGGACTTAGGTCTCTATAGTTCCCCTCAGCAAGAAAGGGAATTAGAACTGAGAGTTTCACATAAGGTACAGGCCTTCATAGAAAAACTAAAAATATCCAAAATCTTCTGTTTGCAGAGGGAGATAACAAGGAAACTTAAACTTCTACTGACTCTGACTGGTTGAGGGACACTTTATTATAAAAACTAATATAAAAAATACTTTCAAACTCTTAATTCTCTTGGCGGACCTAGCCTAAATTAAAGGAAAACTAGGTGGACGAGACCCAGCTTCAACTTAGGCCCTCATGAATTCCACAGATAAAACCCTGTTAAGATAACACATGATCCCAAACTACAGAACATATGTAAAAATGATTTATCATGAGCTAATCTCAACAGACTCCACAGCTGACTTTGATATCTGGTACTTCAGATTACAGCATTAATGTGGTTAAAGAAAAATGAAGGCTTTGACAACATGAAGAAAGAAGACATTAGCAAAAACATCAGGCAAATTTGAAAAAGAAGTAAAATTTACAGGCATATAAATATAATCTTTGAAATTAAAAATGGGATGGACATATTAAACATAGATTAGAAAGAGCTAGAAAGAAATTTACTGAATTGGAATAGATCTGAAAAGAATTCATAGAAGCGGAGGATTTGGGACCTCGTATCTCTTAAGGACACATACAATGAGTGAATCTATGATGGCAGAAGTCATAATAGCTATTTGTTTGTGGGGAGCTATGACGAGCAGTCCAGTAATCATCACGAGTTCTCAGGGAGGCTTCCAGAGATGATGGGAATGTTCTATTGCCTCATCTGGGTGGTGGTTATACTGATGCATTCACTTTGTGACATCTCATTGAGCTCTTTGTCATTTCTACACTTTCCATACACAGTATGACACCTCTATATGTAGTATTTCTGTAGAAATTACAAAAGGAAATCCCACTGCAGTTTGTACCAAAATAAAATGTTGACAGATTATGATGATGAAGCTAAAATACAAGCCCTACAAATAATGGCATAGAGGTAACGTTTATCTACAACTGTCTAGGAAACAACTTTCTAAGCATGACATTTAAGACAGAAATCACTGCTAGCTGTAAGTTACAAAGTTAAAAATACACACACACCACACTACAATGACACAATATCCTCATTATCCTTATTTACATAGATAGAATTCTTAAAAACTATTACCAAAAAATGACTAACCCAGTTGCAAAATGGGCAAAGTATGTGAACGGGCATCTCACCAAAGAATTGTGACTGGTGAGTTTGGAAGTGCCGCTGCTGTGTATTCGCCTAAACTCCCAAAAACAGTCAAGCAGGAAAGGCAGGATTCACACCGAGGCGATCTTAGTCTTCGACTAATATTTTTTAATGAGTGTAAATATATATCTAACACTAAAGGATATTTCTATCGTAGACTACAAAATGCATATTCCAAAATGAAATGGACACTTCTGCCCACAAACCACATACAAATTTATAAGGGCTTAGGAGAAATCTGAAAAGATCAAAATGTAACAGTGGTTCTAGAGTATGGGGGCGTTCTCTTTTCTGAATTAAACAGATTCAGAGAAAGCATCTATTACTTCCATTATAAAGGGGCAATGTTACAGTAAAATGCCAAACGATAGCACCTAATAAAGAATCATGCAAGAGTAGGCAAACAGCGGTGGATCCCAGCCACCGAGCACATACGGGCCTCAGCCTGGGTCTCTCTGATCTTCAGTCATTAAACTCAACCACCACATAGTGGTTTTCCCATCTCCTTCTGTCTCTGCTAGACTTAACTTCCAAACTAACCTTCCTACAGTGTAATGACCTTATTCCAATTGCACTCCTTAAAAACTTTAGATGATTATCTATTTTCTACGCAAGAAAGTAGAAACTCCTCAGCCTGGAATTCAAGACCTTCCACAGTTCAGACATTCAATCAGCCTTCACTGTGTTATACACTTACCTTCCTATGTTACATTATCCACCTTTCTATTGTCCTTACATTTCGTATCGACTTAAATGTACAGGCTCCAACACTGTCATGCCTGGGTCCTCCCGAGGTGCCAGTCTGCGGCTACCCGGCTGCTCTTTCTTGGGTCACAGGAACCATAAATTAACAGTGCAGCCTGGTTCTTAGTCTGGGTTTTGGACCTCATTCAGTGATTTATGAACTTAGTAGTGTCCTTCGTGTCACACAGCACTAAGTCACTCCACGAGCGGATGCCCTCGGCCCACAGCTCCCTGGCCCGCGCGGGTGTTAGGTCCCCCCGGGCCAAGGGACAGCGGCGCAGGCCTGGCCGTCGCCCTTACCTTCTCGTGTTGTGCACCGTGGTTCCTCCCAGCACAATCCTCACCCCCGGGGTGGTGCGGTTCAGGTTATAGACTGTGAGCGCTTCCTCGTAAGTGGCCCCTCCAACCATGAACACGACGATATCCTGAGGCCTGCAGCGTGAACCGCAAGTGTCCACGGCGAGGGGAAGAGGGCAAAGGCTGCTGTTACTGGCAGGCACAGTGTTACTTACGAGTCTCCCCTCTTTGGTGGCAGAAGCAGAATTAAAGCAGAATCGAATAAAAGGCTTAAAAAAAGTTTTAATTATCTGAAATTGGCAGGAACCAGAGCAGGAAATGCTGAGTAGTGATTTGCTTTCTGTTTATGAGCGGATGTCTATTTGAGAATAGCACAATAGAATGTTTGCTGGAACCAAATGTGGAAAGTCTTTCATACGCAGAGGCTGCAGGGTGCTTCTGTGACATGGTACCCACACAGCAGTGACAGCCTGCTCGCCCGTCTCCTTCAAGGACGCGCCCTCTGGCAAAGACTGAGCACAGTGTCACACAGCGGTCTCTGCCCAAGTATTCTGGAAAGTCCTGGCATATTTGGACGTTCCCAGACTTGGGAACTAGATACATTTAGCATTTTGAGCAGACGAGAAATTATGGTGCTTCTAGGAGCTCCGCCTCTCCCTCTTCTCAGAGTACCTCTGTCTCCTAATCTTTTGATAAACCAATAAGCAGAAACCATGGGAACAAACAACCCCAACTCCGTGTGCAGGCTGACACTGGCCAAGCTGACACAGGGCTTGCGGTCAGCCTCCCTGGAGCACTGCGACCCTGGAGCACTGCGATTTCACTGGGTTTCAGCCTGTGTCAAAGCGGCTCCGTCGCCAAGCTGGCGGCCCTCCCCCCAGCTCCTTCTGCAGGGAGCCACAGAAAGGAGATCACATCACTTCTCAGAACTGTTCAAGTTTGCCTTGTTTTTTTTTTTTAAAGATTTATTTATTCATACAGAACTGGGGTACAGGCCAGAGGCTCAGGGGCGGTGAGATGCTTCACCAGAGACAGAGTGGGGAGCAGAACAGGCAGATCAACGAAGTACACTGCTGAGGGGAGCAGCGGGTGGGTCAGGAGAGGTCTGCCACGCCATGTGGGTCTCCTCCGGGGCAGGCGGGAATTGAACTCATGCGGAAGTGGCTTTAGCTTCTCAGTGCTGTGCTTTAACCTGCTGCGCCACCAGGGAGGGCCTTCCTTGGTTTTTTCAAGCCGTCAAAGAAGACAAAATCACTGTCTTCATAAGCCAGTGACTTTATGAAATCACTTCCTGGCCATCACTTAAATGACCTCAGCAGAGACACCCACTTTGAGGCTCACAGCATAAACTGCAGCAGATCAAGGGATTTAGTCAAGGGACATATAAGCTCATGAACAAGCCATGAAAAAGACGCCTGACATTTCCTTTCTGTGTCACTTTGTCTCTTTCTAGAATATCTTGAAGGAATTAACAGAGAGAATTTCTTGTGGGACCTCATGAAACAGAATTAGCTACTGCGGCTACTTAAAAATGTTCAGATAACGGGGCTCTTCTGGTAGAGCAACGGGTTAAAACAGTGCATTAGGAAGCTCTCCGAAGCCACTGCAGCACGGGAGCTGCCCGGAAGCTGACCCACATGGTGGGCAGACCTCTCCTGACACGCCCGCTGCTCCCCTCAGCAGTGAACTTTGTTGATCTGCCTGTTCTGCTCCCCACTCTGTCTCTGGTGAATCTTCTCACCCACCACACCTCTGGTCTGTACCCCAGTTCTGTAAGCATAAATAAATAAATCTTTAAAAAAAATGTTCAGATAATCTCTGATTGCAGAGAAACCCAAGGAAGGCTCCTGATGAAGAAAACGGGGTTATTCTGCAACTAGGGAGAGTTGATTATGATATCTTGTGAACTTGGGCCTTAAAACCATGCCTTGAAACATTAAATTTTGCTTTTCAAGACAAAGTAAGCGTCATTCAAGACTACTTACCTGAGGCAATTTATCCCCAGTGCTGTGAGAGCTATGTACTGTTACATGTTTCACAGCCATTTAAAAAACTAAAAGACACTGTGTTTGACTAAATACGTATTTGTGGCGTGCTGTGAAAACAACTACCTCTCACTTAGTAGCCTTGGACCCCACTTTCTCTTCACAGGGCAATACGGTCTTTCATACAGTCTCAGCAGTATTAACTGCATTTGAGCATATATATTTATAAACCTATTTTAAGTAAGAGTGTGCAAATAATTAAAAGGGAAATGTCTCAGGAGATGAAATGTGTTTTGGCCTGACTTTTAGGAAGCCAATCTTGCTTCCTTTTTCCTTTTGAGAAAAGCCTGCTTTTTCTCAAACCACTATAACTAATCCCTCAAACTAGCAGACTTATGTTATCGTGAACTCTTCCTTTACCCTTCTCTTCCACATTTCATCAGTGACCAATTACTGAAGAGGCGATAGGAATCTAAAACAACAGTACTGCAGAGACATTAGTCCTAAAGAGGAAAAAAGGTGTATTTCCTTTAGAATGGAGAAACAGAAGGTCAGTGTATGCAAATAAGTCTAGATGTAGGGCTAGACATGAAAGGGTTTTTTCTGTGAAGTAGGAGACACTGGTGTGGACTGGGACGAACTAGGAGACTTGACAAGAGTGGGAAATATTCCTAACTGTTGTGGAGAACGAGGCAAGGAGAGGTAATCGGGGCACAGACAAGGCAGGCTGAGTACCCCCGAGGGACCGGGGCGGGAAGGGGGGCACGGATCTGGAACCAGTGTGTTCCCTCTCACAAATGAGTGTCTCTGCGCCTTCAGCTAAATGACTTATCCAACACTGACCTCCTGGCTTTACACTGCAGGGAAGGAGGCGCCTTCCGCAGTCATCAGGAAGCAACACTGCTGTCCACGAATCACTAACATTTCTACACCTTAGGCTTCTTGCTACATCATTTCTTAGGAAGCGCTGCGTGACTAGGAGTGGTGTTTTTCTATCAAGTATGATTAGCTGGCAATTATTCAACGTCTGAATATTCAGGTAAAACAGTGGTTCTCTTCTTTTCTCCCAACTGGTGTGTTGTGTAACATTTCCACTCTTATATTCTACTAATATTTCTACAGAGCAGGAAGGGGACTGTGAACAGCTAAAACTCAAGTTCACTTCTTGTCAGGAACTTCAGGAATATAATTCGCAAGATCAGCCTCGCTGATGGTACAAGGGGTTGAAGCGCAGCACTATGGAGCTGTCCACAGCCACTGTGGTGCAAGTTCCATTCCCCGCCAGGGAAGGACCCACAGGGCACAGCAGACTCTCCTGTCACCCCACTGCTCTCCTCAGCAGTGTGTTTTGGTCGATCAGCCTGTTCTGCTCCCCACTCTGTCTCTGGTGAATTCCCTAACCCTCCACACCTCTGGCCTGTACCCAGTTCTTGTGTGTATAAATAAATCTTAAAAAAAAAAAAATCAAATAAGCCACAGTTGGCTGCAATTTAAAAACCTGACAGGAGTCCCTGTAACTTTTATCAATATTATCCTCATGGATCTATAATGAATTTCTTTTTAGTACTAATTTTCTAAGGACATAAAATTTCAATCCTTTCAAATCCACTGGTTCTAGAAGTGCCAATGATCTGAGAGTAACTGCACTCTTCAAGTGCAGTCACAACTGGTTTAATGTTACTGAGGGATGAAAAGGATGAGTTTTATGAAGAAAAAATGCAATGTTGTAAGAATGTGTCATCAAGGAGACAGGCAATACTAATAGTTTGGTGTATTTTTTAACTACCTGGGATCAGCATAGTGGAAAACAGGGAAGAAAAGGAAACACAATGTTCAGAAACAACAAAATCCTCAAAACCAACATGAACTTACATTCTTGGAAACTGAGCATTTTTGTTTCACAGGAACCACACGCAATGTGCTGTAGTGATCGGTGACTCTGGGACGTATTTCTCTGTTTATCCTAAGTAAATACTCATGAATTGCACAAACTACGTCATTAAGAAGAAGAAAGGGAAGTTTCTCCCTGCAGAGGTACAATGACGGACCAGAACCAGAGAAGCACACTTTTGTTTTGAGTTTCTGATGTGCTAAATCAATTTTAAAAGCAGCTGAGCAGACTAATGAGGAAATGATGCTGCTTCTGCACAGCTGCCTCTGAGGGCGCCCTCCTGCAGGGTCTGTCTCTGAAGGGGCAGAAAGGCCAGATCTGGGAAGGAATAAACTACCACAGACACAGAAGGCTACCCTCACATCTGGTAATTTCAGGGTGCCAGAGTATTTCTGTATTACTGGGAGGGAAGAAAATGTCACGGCTGGTAAACTGTGGGTGTAGGTTACATTCACCGAGACACAAGGCTGGGAGGCTTGAAGAGCCTGATTCAGTTGTGTGCCTCACAAAGCTGACTATGTCACACTGGTTATGGAAACACTGATAAATGTCTTCCTGCGCCTCCCACTTATTCAGGCTGGCTTAGGAGAAACAGTGATGGGGAAAAAAATTTAAAAGAGCATCCCTGACATTTTCCCTTTTCATTCTTTTCTATAGTCAGATTTAACAACTGATGTTCTGGGGGCTTCCTGGTGGCCAAGGGGTTAAATCTCAGCACTATCACCACTGAGGCCCAAGTTCCATCTCCATCCAAGGAGTCACCCCCAGGGCGTAGCAGATCCCTTCTGTCTCCTGCAGCCCCCCTCAGCTGTGTATTTCAGCGGGTCTGTCTGCTGTGCTCCCCTCTGTCTCTGGGGGATCCGCTCACCCCCATATCTTTGGTCTGTACCCCAGTTCTTGTGAACATACATAATTTTTTTTTTAAAAGTACATGTCTTGATGAGGAAAACTGTAAAACACACAGCAAGTCCTTTTCATGGTGGCTGAATCAAGTGGAATACACAAGTTCAATTCTTTGTGCACATCTTCCTTGTATGCTCTGTAATTCACCATAGCAACCAAAGCATTAATTAATGCAGACAGCAAACATTAGAAACAGCAGCTAATTCATGCTGTATAGAGACACAAGGATACCATGAGAACCCAACCAATTTACATCTTACTTTATTAGAAAAATAGACCAAAAATTTCATGGGTAGTATTTCTGGAAACTGTTAACTTCTCCATATGGAAAAGTTAAGCAGAAAAATATAAATTTATGAGATAAGTTTATCTATTTTGTGACCATCATAGTTAGGGGGAACAGTCACATTTCTGCATATATTTCCAGACGGTAAAAATCCCGAGCATTTACTGTAGGAAAAAGGCCAATGAAAAAGAAATGCTGCTTTCATAGAAACAACTAAGCTGCAGCACCAGGCGTCTACTAAATTCATGTAGATGTGAAAAAGTACTTCCTCTTTGAACTGACTGATTCTGAAGTGTACAAGCAGATAGCTCTATTTTCTCTCGCCTTCCGCCTCTGGTTGTCACAATTCTACCCTAGACTTCCAGGGTTTGTTGGTTCAGTTTTGTCTGTTCCTATTTTGCTTTACATGCCACATGAGTGACATCATCAGTATTTGTCTTTCTCCTTCTACTTATTTTGTTCAGTTTTACCCATATTGTTGCAGATAGCAAGGCTTCAGCTTTTTTATTACTGAGTAGTACTCCACCGTGCGTGTATGCCAGATCTGCGTAACCCACTCCTCGACCTGGGGACCTAGGCTGGGCAGACTCCCTGCTGGTGAGCAGGGCGGGTATCTTCTGGGCCCGCACTGTGGTCTTATGACCCGCTCTTTGCCTTCTTCCTTCAAAATCTGCACTACTTGAGAAGCTCGCCACAGAGTTGCTCTGTTTTCTCCTGGCTGCCTTTCCTGGCCACTCTCTTATTCCCTGAAGACTTAAGCTCTGGTGTATTGTCCTCCTTTTCATTTCAGCTTCTTTCAAGAATTTTAGTGGCTTCAACATTAATGTGGATTACTCTTCTAACACACAGAGCTGTTCTCTCTTTTACAACCACCAACATCTATCACGATAACAAACCTTTTCATTACAATGCATTATGTCTACACCACTTTGAAATCTTGAATTCAAGGTCTTTTTTTCCAGTAACCATCACTTCAATGCTAAAACGTCTGCTGTAATAATTCTTTGACCTCTAATCCACTCAGTACTCTTTTTATTTTTAAACTGCAGTATCCTTCCCAGCTTTGTTTCCTGGCTGGGCCCAGCTATGTGCCTTCTTCTCATTTACTCTAGATCATCTAAATGTTGCTGGAGAAAACCATAAAACTAGGCTCATGGGCTATATTTTAATGGCACTTACTCTTGTGTAGAGGTCTGAATTACATTCTCTAGTAAATTTCATTTCTAGCCTACAAGATCACATTTCACCACACATTCTTTTTTTTTTCACCCTCATGGGGTAAAGGGACATATCAACTAAGTGACCTCAGCTGGTAACTTAGCCTGTTTCACTGACAAAACAGCAGCAGCCAAGATGGCCCCACATTCTCACCATCAAACTGGAAACCTACTGCACCTCCATCACACACTGTCTTCTCTCCTGCTAAGATGAAAGCAGAACCCCAGCTCCTGTCACAGGCACCCGCTGGGGCGCAGGATCCCTCCGGGCTTCTCCCCCAGCTTTTCCTCTTTCACACTATTTATTTTTCCTTCTTTGGATAATTTTCATCAGATTACAAATCTCTAGACTCTCTCTCAAGTTTACAATCTCCCTTAGTTACCATCCTATTTCTCTTACCTCTTCATGCCAAATGTCTGAGTTTTATACGTGTATATATATGTATATGTATGTATACATGTATATGTATACACACATATATATATATACAGTGCTTGGTCCTGGGTTCTTTTAACTCTCTAAGTGATCTTACCTAGTTCCATGGTTTTAAATATTACCAAAATCTTTTTTAAGGTTTATGGAAGTGATAATGGCTTATAAGAGTATAATGCATCTGTAATTATGTTTATATTAAACATATTATGTTTTTATTAAACTAGTTCATATTAAATTATATTATGCTTGCTACCAAGTCTGGTTTTCATAATTCAGCACAAAATTGGCTCCTTTTATTGATTTACCCAAATCCTTTTCCTCTTCTCTTCTGGTAACTACTATTTTGTTCTTACAGTCCAAGAACTTGTTTTTGTGTTGTTTGTTCATTTGTTTGGTTCTTTACCTTTCACGTGAATGAAATCACACGGAAATATCATCAAAATCTTGATTTCAATTTAGTGCTGACATTTCTGCTGGGTTAACTAACAGACATCTCCGATTTAACACCTGAACTGCAGACTCCCCCAAGTCTGAGTTACTCTCATTTCTCTCCATGCCTTGTCCGTCGGCCTGTCTCCTTGCACAGGGCGCTGATTCCGGGCCCTTCTCATCCATCTTCCTGACCCAAATCACTTTTCTTTTTTGTCACCTGAACTACTGAAGCTGCCTTCAAAGTGGACTTCCTGTTTTTAATTTTGTCTTCAGTAATCATTCTCCTCAGCAATGTGTAGTTCAGTTCATGTCATTTGCATGCTTACAGCTCTCCCATGGCCGCCTCTGGTTTAATAAGATCTTTAGCAGGGCCTCTAAGACTCGATGTAATCCAGCCCCTGCTCATCTTTTCAGCTTCTTATATCTTCTTTTCTTCCTAAGAGCCAAATACCTGGGACTCCTTTCTATTCCCTGAACTTGTCCCGCTCTGTCTTTCTTTAAGGCTTCTGCCCTGCTTCCATCTGCTTGCGATACTTTTCCTCCTAATCACTGTCTGATGGACTCCTTCTTGTAGTTCAAAATCTTAAGTATTGGGACCTCTCTGGTGGCACAGGGGCTAAGTGTCAGTGTTATCAGACTATCCACAGCCACTGCAGCCTGAGTTCCATCCCCGGCCAGGGAGGGGCCCCCAGGGCGCAGCAGCCCTCTCTCCTCTCCCTGCTGCTCCCCTCAGCAGTGGGTTTCAATGGATCCGCCTGTTCTGCCCCCCCCCGTCTCTGTCTCAACCCCCGCACCTCTGGTCTGTACCCCAGTTCTTGTATGCATAAAAAATAAAAAAAAATCTTAAGTATCACTCCTCAGCTTCTGTCCATCTAAAGTAGCCCTCCCTTCTCTACAAAGGTGCGCTGTACTTATATTCCTGGCTGCTTTCTGAATAGCACTTATCTCATAAGATTATGTCTTTGTTTATTAACTTGCTGTCTGTCTCCATGGTGTGTTCCTCGAGGGCAGGTACCTTGCCTTTCCTGTCATGTTCCAGCCCCTATCGCAGATATTAACACACTGAAGGCACTCAACAAATATTTGTTCCGTAAAAGGCCGGGACATCACTGACTGTGTATGTAGGTGCTAGCGCTGGATGGGACAGGACCTGACAACCCATGAAGCCACTTTGCTGGAAGAGTTGCGTTCTGAGCTTTGTTGGGAAGTGAACCACCCAATTAGAAAGGTTTGCTGTCGTCAACTAACCACACGCAATATTCTTTTTCTAGTAGGCCTGTTTTTTTCTATAGCAATAAGTAGCTAACTTCTTATTCAGTAACTTCTACATGAAATTCACAAGACATTTCATTTTACCACTTTTTCATATCCTTGTAAGGCTACTTAATAGTTACACTCTTTTTGAAAAGTGTCTCAGGTGACTATCTTTGGATTGGTTTTCATTCTTCCTACTTAGCTTGAATTTCTGAATCTGGATGTCAAAGTCCTTAAACACTTTATCTGAATAGGTATACTCTCTGAAGTCAGCCTCAGATGTTCTGCCACTCACCTTGGACTTTTTAAAAAGATGTTTCTGTTCTTTTACAAAATTATTGAGTCTTTTTTAAAGGACCAATGTGAAAAATGCACTTTAATCATATGAAAGAATCATCTATGTGCCTGAAAATATTTTTCTCTTTTCAGAAATTCATTATATTTTTAAAACAGTATTCTTCAAGGGTTCCTAGATTATGATTAGCTAAAATGACAGAAGTTATATCAACAGAAATAATTCTCATATTAACCTAACAATTGACTTCAGTTACATATACTAAGTTCTTTGCAGTACTGATAAATATAAGAATATCCTTATAACTAGGTAGAATTTGAATATAGTAAAAATTTCAGATTGGGCCTACGTAAGTGGTTCTGGAGAATTTTTTGATTTTTATTAAAACTAACAAACCACTATATTATAATGACAATTAATTGTTTCTTCCAATTAATACCCAAAAAGAAAACCATCTTTGCTCCTGGGTGACCAATGGCCTTTGTTAACTAGGTCTCAGTGTGTATGCTGGCCACATCTGGCAAAGCCCAGCCCACCCCCAAATAGTGACAACCTGCACTGGAGGCGGTCAAGCAGAAGCTCTACTCTGGCTTCAGCATTTGAAACCCCAAATGCAGATGCCATGGACTAAACCCTAAGTGGTACAAGCTGATCTGATACTAGAGAGGAACACCTAAGAATCTGGGGTGCTTCAAAACACCTGTTTATTCTGGTAGAAGTAGTGCCTCGGGATTGCACTTTCACCTAATTTCAATACCCGTAACACCAAAAGAATCTTAGAACTGACACAGTGGGAGGAGGAGTGGAAGGATAGAATCTTAGTGGCAGGCCCTTTCATTACTGGAATTTTCCTATTTTCTCACTGTTTCTGGGTTTTATCATTAATATCTCTGGTAACTTACCTGTCTCTGAGTGTGCTGGGGCCCAGGTAAGGGTACAGGTTTTCCTTAAGCTTCCCTTTGATGAGATGGTCTAGGGTCTCATGCAGGAAAGGCTGATGCTGTGTGTACACATTTTCTACCCCCTAAGAGAGAAAATGGTCTTATATTATTGCAAGATAATAAACTTGCAAGATAACAGTCAATGATACTTTTATCAGAAAGAAAATTAAGCAATTTCATGAAATTAGATGGGAATTTTAGGAGAAGTTTAAAGTAATTAAAAAATTTTTTAAGTAATTAAAAAATTATTTTCACCAAGTAGAAATGTTCCAATCTCAAAAAAATCATGATAATTTAAAGCTGGGTATTAGGAAAGAATTTCAAAAGTGGATTTGCTGAGATCCTTTATGTTTCTTTGCTGATTCTCATCATTTTCTGAAAACGATACAGGTTAGACGGAGCCAATAAAAGGAAGGAAGCTGGAAACACTCGGGAAAAAGTGCAGAGCTAGCAAGTTGAACTAATTTTTGACCATTTCAGAGACTAGGTTAGTACTGTTCAAAGTTCTACAATTGTTCGCTTTACTGTTTATTTCTTTGAAAGAAAAACTACTAAGAAATCTTAAATTACAAACAAATGGAGCAAAATAGCTACGAGGAACAGAATAGTCTCTTCACTCTAGGTATTTCCTACAAGTATCTCCAGTTATTCCCTTGAGCTAGCGGGTGGGTCTTGGGTGGCCTTGGGGAGGGCCGTGGTGGGGAGACGGTGGTGGGGATGAATGGGGTGGGGGCGGGCGCGCCTGGGATAGCGCTGGCCAGCCTGCCCGGCCAGCCTGCCCACAGGGCAGCACGGAGGTGTCCTACCTTCAGTCCTTTGAGGAACTGCTTGGTGATAGACACAGCATCTTTGGGGCTGAAGAGGTCGCTTCCTCTCACCCGCTTGCCACCATATTCAACAACTGCAGACACGAGCTGTTAAAAAGGAGGGCACAACCTCTTACTGCTTGCAGGTCAGGAAGCTCATTTCATAAGAAAATAACTTTGTTAAGGAAACGAAGCCACAAGAGGGTGGAATTAGACATTTCTGTGAGAAAGTGGGTGTGACGTCACAGGTTAGAGCTAAGAATGTATTAACAGAGTTGGTTCCGCCCGGCGGGAAAGACAAATGTGTTACCTTCCGGTACTTCTCGGAAACCCCTTTATTCCTGAGGTCCATCGTCAGTCCTGACAGGCTGTTGCTGCTGTGCCGCTCGTAGTGCAGGGCGTAAAGCAGCACCAGCCGGGCCGCATCCAGCTCTGTCACTTTGGGGTTCTGCAGTAGTCTCTTGACATTCTGGGGAGAGAGGAGGCTGGTATTTACCTGCTATCATCTCCATGACACCCATGATATTCAGTCTAATAATTACGGACTAGAGTGACACATCTTAAAATGAGGAGGGGCCAAAGAGCCAGTCTGTGCTGGGCTTAGTCGGAGAGACTGAAAGCAGACGGAAAGTAGAGGAAGAGTTGGGCTGGGCTGAAAGGCCAGGAGAGCCTGGAGGGCAGAGGATCCTGGAGGAACTAATCCTGCTGGCACTTTACAAATTACAGGGTGGCTTTACACACGTCCTGTCTAGTGCTTAGCAGGAAACCTGGTGAATGTCTGAAAGCGCCTCTGTCCACGCTATGGAGGGCCGCGATACAGCAGAGGCCTCTGGGGAAGGCCTGGGCAGGGTTCCTGCTGCTGCTTTTCCCGGGGAACATTTCACCGCCATCATCCCTAGCGACAGAGAAGGAAGAAGCGCCTTTTCCACAGATTGACACTGCAGTCTCTGCGGTGCCACTTACTTTTCAGTCATGAATAGAGCCTGTTTAGAATTCTGCTTCAACAGTCTGCTAGTTTCTACTGTAATGTGAAGACATGTGCGGGTATGAGTGGGGGCTGAGTCGATGCACACAGCTCCTTCTGTATCTCAGTCCGCGTGGCCTTCCTCTGGGGCTTAGAAGCACAGTGCTTCATATCCTGGCCTGCAGTCGCTCTCTTTTTACTTGAAGTCTACCAGTTTCTGGCTCACTCATTTGGGTACTCAGATCTGCCAATTTGGCTGCACCTTGCCCACGTGCTCCCTGCCTATGTCCCTTCATCTGGATCTTGACTCGACTCAGTTTCCCATGAGAAAATCCACTTCTCTTCCTGGAGATCTGGTACTGGTAGTTAAAGTTCCTGGCGTGACTCTTAGCTTACCTCCCGTTGTGCTCAAATCTGAGTCAAGATTACATTAGTAGACAACTTTGCTTGTCTTTGACCCCTTAGTACTCAACTCATGGTTCAGGTCAGTGTTCTGGGCAGATGTATCTATTGCCACATAAAAAGAAATCTGTAGGCCCAAGCTGAGATCTTTCTCCTGGCAGAACAGGGTCTCTCGGTCTTCCCGGTCTCATGCTGTCCTTGGACTGAATTCTGAACGATTTCCCTCATGGTGACTCTACCTGGCTGACAGTGGCCTACATTATATAGACACATTTTGTTGAGATTTCAGGCACTAACCAGAGAAAGGGAGAAAAAGAATCTGAGAGACTTCTAATTGTATAACAGGTTTATGCTACATGTTAATATTTATATGTTGAAAAATGACTAGATTGCCTAATGTACTTTCGGGTTTCTTTTTCCTTACTAAATTTTCTGAGACTATCATGAGGCAAAAGTACACTGTCCCATAGTAACAATGAGTAATGACTGAGGGCAGAAAACTGCTGTCCACTTAAGGATTCAGACATTTCCCACTGAATTCTAACCTTCTGGTAGGCTTAATTAAGGAACAGGAAAAGTAAGGCAAAAACACAGTTTTTGGAAATCGAGTTTCTAAAAGGAGCTACAGTTCACACCAAGGACATCCGTGAAAATCAATTCATCCTTCCTGATATTTAGAAATTCTTCCAATTGTTTTGGGCTACTTTTCTACTTTTTTTCTTTCACCAAAACTATGGAGGAGCATTATAAGAATAAAAAGTCACAATGATTGATATATTAACCATTGTACAAATTACATGTGAAGTCAGCAATTAGTCTCTACTTTTTGGCTTTAATTTAATCTGAAGAACAGGATCCCTGCCTTGCTATCTGCCATCACATTAGTATAGTAAAACAGTGAACAGCTTTATAAGCTAACAGATTAAAACAGCAAGATGGAATAGACAGAAGTCTTCAATATGCTGATAGGATAAAAATAAGTCAAATCTAAAAGTGTGAGAGAATAGTGTGGAACTATAAAGAGCTTCTCTAGGAAAAAATGATAGAAAGAAGCAGGGCCTAGCACTACTGAATGGTAAATACACTGGAGTCAGCCTTCTTTTCCTAAGTGACTAGTTAACACAAAATTTAGCGTTGCTCTAGGTCTTTGGCTGGTCACCACTATCTCTGAAACCCTGCTTAAACAATGGTTCAAGAGAAAAGGATCACTTGTGCCCTTAGATGGTGAAAGTAAAGTTGATCTTTCAATGGGTCCTAAATAATTTTCTTAAGACTTTAACGAGAAGGAAAAACAAACCCTTCTGAGATCGGGAGAGATACCAGGTCATGAGTGGACTAAAAAACATGTCTGGGATGCCATGAAGAAAACAGCATACCATCAAGGATGAGACTGACAATGGCGAGGGCTGACTTGTATGAGACTTGTAAGTATGAGGTTCCACACACATAGCCGCACAGTATCTTTGAGGTAAGGACTGTTATTTTTCTCCCATTATGTAAACACTACCCCCTAAAAAAGACTTAAATGGGCAGGAATCATTTTCACATTCAAGCCATCAAAGGTCCAAATTCTTAGCCACTATTCTGTATTGCTTCTAATAAAGCTCTTTCTCTTCATTTTTCTAAGAAATATTTATTGACTCTATACCATGCCATTAATACGATGATCTGAATCTTTTACCTAAGATCAGGGGCGAAAGTTGAAAACCAGACTAGTTCCTCTGTCTAAGACAACCCAGAAAGGGAAAACTGCTTATTTTCTAAAGATGTTTCTCTTTATGGTAGGGAAAAAAAAATCTTCCTTATTCATTACAAGAGTCTTTTCTGAGGCTAGGGAGAAGTGTCAATGGTAGCATACTATTGCTGGGTTCTGGTGACATTCTTCTAAATCATGTTTCTGTTAGCCTCTAGGAAAGCCGGTGAGAAGTGGCAGTGAGTTGCAGGCTAATCTGCAGCACCCCTACGAGCCTCCTTCCCCGCCCTGATGCATTGACTGTTCGCTAAAGCAAGTCCCATCTCTACTCAAAACCTCAATTCATAGCTTCGCTTCATGACGTCCGACCATCTAAGGTCAAGCCAAGGAATGCTATAACCCCTCTAGGGCTCAGCCTCAGCACGGACTCATTGTCAAACAAAAGTCTCTTTATAGACTGTTTAAATCAAGTTACCAGAGAAACTCTCTAAGGGAGCCCAGGCTTACTGCTCACTGTAAAACCCCAAGAGCACAGGCAAGAAAATCTCCAAGATACTTTTAGAAAATATAAAGGGGATCCCAAGTGGAATTCAATGTTTAAAGTATCTACTTTTCCTTTAAACAACTAAAAAGTAAGATTTCAAGTAAGGAATTACAGCACATTTTCCCAACTGCTTCCCATATGGTGGAGATATAAAGATACTAAAAGTGGTTGGTGGTTAAGTTGTATTGTTTTGAAGGAGAAAATAAATGGTAAACATAAGGAAATTTAAATTTAGCTATTTTGTACTTATTTAATAAGAGGCAGAAAACTCATGTCAGCGAGAATAACAGGCTTCACAGGAGTATCTCTACAAGGCTACAAAACCACCGAAAACTATTACTGGCAGCATCGGAAAGCAGTTGGCCAAATGAAACAGTGTGATATGGTTTACAAAGGTGTTCTATTTAGCGATAAAGAGTTTTAGGTTTTGATCTGGAACAGCTTCCAGATATGCGGGTAAGTGAAACAGCGAGCGCAGAACTATGGCGCACGGTGGGAGCGACTGACTCCAAGGCGCAGGCGGCCCCGAGGCTGCGCGGGGCCGCGCGGGCCGCGGCAGCGGTTTCCCTAATCCTAACGAATGCTCATGCTTTCCAACAGGGTGGCTTTCAACACTGATCGATTTTAAAAACCAACAACTACAAACTCCAGTAAACTATAGCAATAAGAGGTGCAACTATAGCAACAAGAGGTGGGTGGATTTCATTCTCTAGGTCGGACCACGTAACATTTACAGAGCAGCTAACGCATCTGGAGCACCTGACGTCTTACTGACCTCTCCTAACGGGCTGAACGTTTGAGATCATTATCCCCAAGACTCAGGAAAAGTAAGCAAGTGCCCAAGGAAACTTGAGTTTGCAGACACAGGAACAGAAGTCAGTGCCACAAAGCCTGTGTCTCCCCTGGTCTCTTCTGCCGCGTTGGTGCATGTCACAGACTAAGGCAGAACTGCAGCCTTCCCATGGGCAGAGGCGGAAGGACGCGACAGCCTGTAGCGCCCACTCCCGGGAAACGTGCTTCTTCCAGAGGGGCTTGGCACTGCTCTCCCAGAGGACTCTCCTTCCCAAGTTACTGACTGTCAGCGGACTGATTTTGTCATCTCACAGAAACCTGAGGATGATCTGCCTCGTAGTGTCTCCTTGCTCTGACGTCCCGTCTGGCACTGAATTGTCTCCCCCCAACAGTCTGTCAGACTTGTCCTTACTGTACATTTTCCTACTGTCTCTGTGAGTCCACAGCCTCTGTTTTTCACCTTCAAAACACTTACTAGACGCAGTTTTCCAAAACACAACTTCCATCATCTCTGCTTGCCACACAGGAACCTACGCTGGCCCTCGTCTAGCTCAGCAGGCACAGATTCCTCTTTCATGCTTCACAGACTGGTTCCTGTTTACCAACTGAATTTTATCTCCTATTCCTCCTCCACACCCACTCTAGGCAGGTCAAAGTATTTGTTATTTCTTGCATACTTGGGCATCTTTGCTTTTGCTGTTACCCTGACTGACATCCTCCTCCAGACTGAATTCCTTCTTTACCATCCATCTTGGTACCACCTTCTTGAAGAAACTGTTGCTGATAACCGCACATCTTAGGAGTGTCACAACTCTGCCTTGAGTAGTATATTGCAATACTAATTGTTTTAGTGATAACTGTTACTTTTGTCTCCCTCACTAAACTACACCTTTCCTGAGGCCAGTGTCTGATTATGTCACTTTTCTTCTGGTAAGAGCCTCTGGTAGCTTCCAGCGGTAAGTCAGAGCCCAAACTCCTTTCCACGGCCACAACCTGGGCCCGTCTTTCCGGTTATTCTGGGAGCGTGCCTACTCTGGGAGCGTGCCTCATCTTGCCCTTGCACCAGCACAGGAGTTCTCTGCCCTGTACTCCTGCGTCTCACTGATGGCCACTCCCCCCCCGGGTGGTACGCTCATCCTTGCCCAGACCAAAGCCTGTTGTCATCTCTAGGAAGTGCTAAGAGGTCCACCGGTAGGGATAGGTTGTCCTTCCTCGAGAAATATCTCTAGCATAGCACCCACTGAGAGGTATTGTACATGCTGGATTGTTTCCTTCCCCTCGATTAGAATGTGAGCTCTCTGAGGAAACGGATGGTATCTCCTTATTCTTTGCATTTCTAGATCCTTGCAGCAGGGTGTACATACGTTCATGTTTGTGGAATGAAAAGCAGAGGTTGAGTAATTAAAAAGCTTAATGTATTTTAATCTACATATCTTTTAAAACCTTCCCAACAGCACTCTGAGGTGAGGATCATTACACCTACTCCCTAAACAAGAAAACTGGCTCAGAGGCAACAGCTTCCGGGTCACAGAAGCCAGCTAGGAGCACACCAAACCCTAGCATCCTGCTCTTTTGGTTTTAGTCTTGTATTCTTCCCAGAAATTAGGCTGCTGTCTCAACTCTCAGTCAGCTGCCCGAGCCTTCTGGGGTGGCACAGCTCTGTGAGGCGCTTACGCATCCTTCTGCAACAGTATTAATGAGTGTTCTTGTCCCAGCTCTGAGGCAGACTATAACTCTACCCTGCTGAAGGATGGCAACCTGCCTTTTGCCTCCTGCCGAGCACGGTGCCTCGCACACAGTAGGTGCTCATCAAACTGGGCTGAGGACATACCTGGAGAGCACTAGAATGGTCATTCTGACAGGCCAGCTCTTGCTCAACCTCCGACACCTCCAGTAGATTCCGTTCACTGACCAACCGCGACAGCTCGCCAACGACTGTCACATGCTTTGATACTGTCCCAGACATCTTCTTGAACTGTGGGTAATTCTCAACAAAGGCCTGCCATGGGAAAACATCAACAGAAGAGTCTGTCATTTCTTGACCAAGGATGAACATGAATGAAGTCGGGGAGACAAAAGCAAGGATTGTTCTTCTAGCCAGACTAAGGCATCTACAACCTTCAGTCATTCGGCTTAAGAATGGAAGAACTGGCATAGGTCCACAGACTGTGTCTTTGAACAGTCCACATGACTGAAGACTGAAAAGAAGCACCTGGCTCATTATGAAGTTCTCTCTACATGGGTCATTAGAGGCAAATATTATAGAAAGTAATCTCAAACCAAACAAAATGAATCAAGGTAGAAATCAGGCCCATAAAATTCCAGAGGTGTTGCTTACATGAATAGTTCCAAAGTCGTGCATGTTAGTCATCCATGTACATGTTCAATTTACCTTCATATCTGCTATTGATTCTAGTTTTTGTTGTTCTTTTGGTTTCCTCTTCTGAAAGTCTTCCATGAGATTCTTTATATTGCTACCAATCTCAGCAAAGTTCAGGTACATATTCTGTGAAAAAGGAAGTTGGAGAAACGATCCTATCAACTAATGACACGCTCAGATAATTTAAAGGGAGAGATGAAAAAGGATCCTGAACACAGTTAGCATCGAAGAGCGAGAAAATTCCATAATAATTACCAAATCTGGACATTGGCCAGCACACTGGTGAAGAATATTGTCACTGTTCTCACCAAGGGCTACAGACGAGAGGGGTGCAAATAAACTGGGTTTGAAATTTTAAGTCCAAAACTAAAGGGTGTGATTCCCACGAAGGGCCAGAGTCCCGAAATGCAGTCTGTCTAGAGGGGCCTCGTTGTCTCCTATACCAAATGCCTGCTGCTTTCATCGTCAGGCGGTAGCACTGCACTTCTTAAATGAAACAACTGGACAAACAAGCAAGTTTAGCCCACGTACGTTCGCGTAGAATTCATCATTTTCAGCAGACAGGACCACCTCTCGTAAGTCTTTGCTGATGCCTGGCACTCTGGAAAGGTCGATCCGATTGTTGTGTATGCCCAGTAGTTCATGGACCATGGCCTGGTACGTCCACTGAATAAAGAATTGTGACAAAAACAAAAAGTCCAACTGGTCACTGGCAACATACAAAATAGCAAATAAATGTTCAGGAAAACAAGTAAGAACTGACTACACGCTTAGCAACTAGTCTGCTTTACATGGAGGCGCTCTAGCTCAAATGTTATTACCACTTTGTGCCATACTAAACATTAACACAGTCAGTTAATTGGTTAAACGTCCAAAAAAGTCAAAATACTTTTAGATTTCACACTTCAGAAAAAGGGCGGCAAGATTAATATTCCTAATAGAAAGAATGCAAATTAGAGCCATCATTAGTTCCAATTTTTGCCTGTGAATTAAAAGTATATTTTTGGCTTCACAGATAGGGCTATATTGGTACTGCAGTTACAAGCTGTACCATTTCCTGTATGCCGCTGTGGTTTCTGCAGCATGAGAAGTGTGTTCTTGCAGCTCTGCATGGTGATATATTTATCCTGGGAACACTAATATTATCAGAAAAAACTTGTGAGTTGATCAAAACACACGTATTCAGACGCTTTCCTCTGAATACATAGCATTTTCTATTTTTACTTAATAAGAATTGTGGAAAAGGGCCATCTCTCAGTATTATAAAATACGAACTTATTTAGTAAGGCTGGAAGGGAGAAAGGCTCAAGCTGTGGTTTCTTAGCCTTATAGAGAAATAGGTTACCTTTCAGTCCTAGGTCCAGCAGATAAAACTAAGTAGTTTCCAGAAAATTACCTTCTGAATCTAGATTCCAAGTGCTAAAAATATTTACATATACTCCATCTTAAACAAACTAGAGATTGTAGCTAAAAGATCATCAAAGAGGGTGCTTTATTCCCTAAAATAACTGTGAGGCAAACCCTTCCAAAGCAAGTTCCATCCGGGACTCACTTAAAGCGAGGACAAGATGTTTCTTGCATGCTGGCACCACAGCACACGCCCAACTACAGTGATCTGCTTACTGCCCCGCCGGGCCCGGAGATCTGTGAGAGCAGCAGTGCAGGTTGACTTTTGGGCTCAAGTACTTAATACAGCACACTAGGAACACAAGAGTTCCTCACTGAAAGTTGTTGAGTCAATGGCTGCTTATCTTTGGGAAACAGAATGAGAGGCAATCATTTTTTCTATTTCTTTACATTATTGAAAGTTTCTTAGTAACCGCAGTACTTTGAATTTCAGGAATATAAGGCGCTCTTATAGACTAGAGAAGTTGCATTCTAGACCCACAGATTTCCCTTAGTATGAACTTTATTATAAAGGGGAAGAAGCTGAAACACAGACTCTGCCTTTCGCTGTAAAGTCAAAGTCACATTCATAAAGCAGCTACTATGTTCAGTGCACTTGCAGGAAAACTAACATGGGTAAGGCCCAGTGTATAAACATCCAAAGGTAAAACCTGGCAAATGCTGCAGACGATGAAAGGCAAAATTCTATTGTAAGCTTAGGGGGAAAACCAGGTTTGAGGAAAAGAATATGAGCTTAAAGAAGACATTCTGAGTGGCCTTAGGGTGAAAAATTTTCGTGGGTTAAAGAGGGGAGACGCAGCCTCGCCTCACAGGGATTAGAGCAAGGGTGAAGGGAGGTGCCCAGCACGGGGCTGCAGCCCTCCAGAGGCCAGCCCAAACTCTGAGAGCGCCCTGCCAACCAAGTTCAGGAGTTTGTATTTAGCCCAGGATGAGAAGGGGGTTTAAGCAGGGAGTGACAGGGTGAGCGCCATGCTTTAGGGAAAGTAATCTGATGACACTGTTTCTATGGATGATATTAGAGTGAAAAGAAATTAAAAGTGGGGAATCGAATCCATTTCAGGATTCTACATGATATTAGGTCTACACCAAAGCAATACAGTAAGAATGGAAAAGGGCAGACTCTGGAAAAGTAGAATCCACAGACTCTGAAGGCTGCCTTGATTAGGGGCGGGATTTGGGGCAGGAAGGGACAGACAGGAAGAACGCGGCAGATGATTGTGGCTGGAAGAACAGATGATACCAAAATACCAGGAAATACAAAGCGAAAAGAATAGCTGAAAATAAGGAAGGAAATAGATGGATCCTGTTATTCACTCCCACATCTGCATGAGACGAGCATCACTTGGAACTGTCCTCTGTGGTGCTAACAAAGGGCTCTGCACCTGGTTCAGCAGCGGGGTGATGGCATCGTCACAGCGGTCCAAGATCAGCAGCAGCGGGGGAACCTCGGTCCGCCGGAACTCAAACAGCTCGTACTCTTGAGTTATCACTTGCTGTGGGAAGGAGAATGATGGTTCAGGCAACCAATGAGTTGCAGGCCAAAATACATAAACAGTCAATTAATACACGAAAACCACATTTAACAGTAACAGTTCTTTGCACCTTCACAGGCCTTCCATAAAAGGATTAAGAAGCTTTACAATGTTTACCAGCATTCCTTTGAAGAGGTTGGGATTTGAACCTGTTGTACGAGGATTTACCTCGATCAAAAGAAGTTAGGTTGCTTGCAAGTGTGTCTTGGGTTAAAACTAAGAGCCTTAGTTCCATTTTGTTGTTTTGGTTTTAAATTACAAATCACTCCTTTGGCCTGTACACCTAATGTGTCATCTCCATTGCTGTAGGTGAAATATTCCTTTAGTTTCTAAAACATGGTAAGGAAAGGAATGTGATGGTCTCAGCACTTTGGAGCTTTGGGCCAGCAACCCTACCTTCACACACTCTGCAAGCCGCTTCGCTGCCTCTGAGGAAAGCTGATATCGAATCATGGGACACTTCTTCAGAGACAGAAGGAGGGCGGTCAGTCCTTGGGTGGTTCTGGTCAGTTGCGCTGGGTCCCAACTTCGACCCTTTTGTTAAAAACATATATTGAGAGAAAACAGTTTCACTTTTTCTGATCTGTTCAATGGCTTACTGAATTAACTCCCACCAGAGAAGTGACCTTATTTATTAGCCCCTTTCTTCCATACCTGGCAGCAGCCCAAAATATTGAGGGAAAACAAATGTGGATTCACAGCAATATAATCACCATAAAATTCCTGCAAACAAAGCATCAAGGTCATCAGTCATTCCATAAACTTCAACTTGCCACACAGCAGTGTTTTCCTGTCTGACACAGTCAGTTTTAAGAAAATGCAGGTATAAAGGGATAGAAATCTTGCTCAAGTAACAAGTGACTGATGTGAGATAATGAAAAAATAATTATGAAGTAGCAGCACAACAAACCTTTTCAAAATGGTTGTAAAGGAATAGGTATATTTCTGGAGACCTCTACGGACGTTTTCATTTACTGCTCAGTAAAAATATAACACCACTATGGGATATACAATGTCATACTCAGTGAAATGAAAAAGAACTTTACTATGTAGTGAAAGAGAACCTGATTTAAAATGGGTCATTCTTTGTTATTATCACCTAGCATATCCTTCTTAAAATTCAAAATACTTCACTTTTCAAAACTTATATTCATTTACAACATGTTTATTTGCTGCCTCCACTTAGGCAATAAACGTCATAGAACACAAACGTGCTCAAGAACACGGCGGTGTTTGGAAGGGCAAGGCAGCATGGTGTGCCTCGGTGGGGGGCGCTACACAGCACCAGGGTGACTGCCCAGGAGTTTCCAAGGTTTAATCTAGCGACAAAATCGAGACCGACCAAAGCAAGATAGTCAGTAGCAGGAGTTTAAGACTGCATTTACACAGCCCGGTCACAGTCCGATCATCAAAGCAGCACCAGGCATATGAGGCTCTGCTCTCGGCCACATGCAATCCTGCCTGCCTCGGCAGGTGCGGCAGCAGCCGGCTCCCCAGCCCTGCGACTCTGCCCCCCAGCTTTCCCACAGGTGCAGTTTGTTACCCATTTGTCGTGTCTGCTCGAGACCTCCCTAAATTTTAAAGTCAAATGTCTGTAAAGGTCTGCTCTCAAGGGAGTGTTAGGGAACCAGCATGTTTACCTGAACTTCAGCCACGACTTCTTGCTCATCAGCTTCCGCCAGTGACTTCACATCACTCTTGCTGATCACATTACTGAAATCTGAACCAGAAATACGAGTGGTGACTGACTCTAGGAGACCACCTCCGCCACAAGCAGTCTAAGTGGGTTTGACAGTGGAAGTTTGGTGACGTCGAGATCACATTGGAATGGGTAGCATGTATGTGTTCAAACCCACAAATTCATAATAATATTTACAAAAAGAACCACAATTATAGGCCTAAAAGGATACCTGAGAGTTAAGTCATACAGAAAATAAAGGGAAAGAAGTGCATTTTTATACTTCAATTAACAAACTTTATCACCAGGTAGCCAAATATTTTATAGAAATACTTTAGCCAAGAAGGAAGAAACAATAATGATAGAAATCAGAATCACTATTTTCAATCCTAGTGAATCAATCCAACACTGTGTAGTGTACTTGACAAAAAGAAATTAAGTCTGAATTTAATCAACCTCTATAACCAAGCACCAGTTTACAGGAACCAGAGGGCATAGAAATAGTTCAGTTGCAAGGAATATGTGAAAATGCCCCAGGCTGCTGCAGACTCTAGCGCAACAATGTACACAGCCGGGGTTCTTGGAAGTACCGAAAAGCTACTTAGTATCTTAGTTTTAAGTGTTCTAAGAGCTACTTAGAACAAAACAGGTTCTCCTATAATGTCAGTTTCAATCAACAGTGGCTAGTATTGTTTTTTTCTCATCAATGTTACAAACAAAATAATGTTGACGGAAACAATGTTATTTGAGGGTCTGCTGTAGTTTTTTCAAAAAGTAAACTGAAAGGAGGCAGAAAGAGAGAAGGGAAAGGGAGGAGGGATAAAGGCAAGGAAGAAGAGGAAAGAAGAAATATGGGAAATATACTATGAATTTAAGCCAAACCAACCATGAAAAATAAAAATAAAAATAAAAGGAAAAGAACTTGAAAGTTGAATACTGAATGACTTTGCAAAGAGGAACGATTTTTTAGAATATGGATGTAATAATGGTATTTTTATGAATCCTTAACCTTTATATATTATGCTGAAATATTTATGGATAGAATCATACAATAACTTAGAATTCCTTCAAAATAAAAAGCAGGGACAACATCAAATGTTCATGACAATTCAAAGAAACTGCATCATCTGTGCATTGTTAGTGGAAAAATAAAGCAGTTATAGTCACTCTAGAAAATGTTTAACAGTTTTAAAAACACTAAACATGCAACTGCCATATGAACCAGCAATTACTCTCCCAGGATTTATTTATTCCAAAAATAAGATGTAATGTTTACACAAAAATGCATACACAGGGGCCCCCATGGTGGCACAAGGGGTTAAGTCTCAGCACTATGAAGCTGTCCATAGCCATGCAGCACAAGTTTGAGCCCCGACCAGGGAGTGTCCCACATGGCGCAGCAGGCTCTCCTGTCTCTCCACTGCTCCCCTCAACAGTGGATTTCAGTAGATCCACCTGTTCTGCTCCCCGCTCTGCTTCTGGCGAGGGTCTCTCACCCCCATATCTCTGGCCTGTACCGCAATTCTTGTATGCATAAATAAATACATCTTTAAAAAAAAGTACACACAAATGCTTATAGCAGCTTTATTCCTAGTAGCCTAAACTGGAAACAACTCAAGTGCTCTTCAGTGGTGAACAGTTGGATTCTTTGTGGCACATTCATACCAAGAAGCACTATTCAGTAATAAAAAGAAATGAACTATTGACACATGCAGTAATCTGACTGTGTCTTCAGAGGATTAAGTTGAGTGAAAAAGTCAACCTCAAAAGGTTGTAGACTGTATGATTCCATTTATATAACTTTCTTGAAATGGCAATTATAGCAATGGAGAGCCAATTAGTGGATGCCAAAGATTAATGAGTGGTTTGGGTGGAAAGGAAGTAAATATAGCTGCAAAAAGGTCAGTATGAAGGATTCTTATGTAGATGGAAATGTTTTATATCCTAACTATCAATGTCAGTGTTCTTGGTAAGACATTATACTATAGCTACATAAAATATTAATCCAGGGGAAAGGATATGGGTCTCTAATTATTTCTTATATCTGTATCTCAATATATAATAAAATCTTGAGGTTCTTGTAAGGACTAAGCAAAATAATATATGAGAACGTTCTTTATAAAATACAGTCTTATCACAATTGTTAATTTTTAGTATCATTAAAAATGACAGTAGATAATGAAGAAAATATGTCTTTGACAGTAGTGTAAACCCCCAAAATCCAAAACTTTCAAGAAAGTTATAAAATCTTTGCAAATGCCCTACTGAAAGTTAAGTTTTGTCACTGATGTTAAAAATGATAGGGCGGGCCCTCCCTGGTGGCGCAGCGGGTTAAAGCACAGCACTGAGAATCTGAAGCCACTTCCGCATGAGTTCGATTCCCGCCTGCCGCCTGCCCGGAGGAGACCACATGGCGAGCCAGACCTCTCCTGACCCGCCCGCTGCTTCCCTCAGCAGTGTACTTCGTAGATCTGCCTGTTCTGCTCCCCACTCTGTCTCTGGTGAAGCTTCTCACCGCCCCTGAGCCTCTGGCCTATACCCCAGTTCTGTATGCACAAATAAATAAATCTTAAAAAAAAAAAAAAAAATGATAGGGCCCTCCCTGGTGGCGCAGCGGGTTAAAGCTCAGCACTGAGAAGTTAAAGCCACTTCCGCATGAGTTCGATCCCTGCCTGCCCTGGAGGTGACCCACATGGCGTGGCAGACCTCTCCTCACCTGCCCGCTGCTACCCTCAGCAGTGTACTTGTCAGTCTGTCTGGTCTACTCCCCACTGTCTCGGGTGAACCCTCTCACTGCTCCCGCACCTCTGGCCTGTACCCCAGTTCCGTATGCATAAAAATAAACAAATCTTTAAAAAAAAATGACACTGAATAAATGATATTAATCCTATAAAGATCAACAATGACATCTAGAGGAGAATAGATGTAACTTCCAAAGCAGAATATATTACATAAAATAAATCCATATAAATTGTATAGTAACCATAATCTTAGTTTATTTCCAGGATTCTACCTCTAAAACCCCCCACCAAGATGCACTATAAAAAAATACTTGATGACTCACACTTTTAAGTATTACATAAAATAGCAAAGAGAAGTGGAATGAATTCATCTAGTAAGTAAAGTTAATCTCTGCTTTTCCAACACACTCACATATATTCTTGCCATCTAACGGATAAAAGCAAGCACAGATTTAGAGTTAAAGGCTGGAAGGCAATCCTACAAGCAAATGGCAATCAAATAAAATCAGGAATAGCTATATTTACATCAGATAAAGTAGATGTCCAACTTACAAAGGTAATAAGGGATAAAGACTGACATTACATTTGACTACAGTTTTAGTACAAAAAGAAGAAAATAGTAAATATATATGTACCCGAGCATCGAGTGCCAATATAGATGAAGCAATTGCTAACAGAACTAAAGGGAAATATTGAAAATAACACAATAATAATAGGGAATTTTAATACTCCACTTAAAATTATGGGCAGATCAACAAGACAAAGTAAGAAAACAATATCCTTAAGTAAGATACTAAACCAAATAGATTTAACAGCTATTCATAGAACACTCTACCCAAATACCACTGCATACACATTTTTATCACATGCACATGAACATTTTCAAGAATACATAATATGTTGGGGTAAAGTCTATTGTCAATAAAACTACAAAGATGAAAATTATAACAAGTACTCTCTCACCATTATGTCACAAGCTAGAAATCATTATAATTAAAAAACAAACCGGAAATCCTATCAGTATATGTAGACTAAATAATATGTTGCTTAATAGCTATTGGATAAAAGATGAAATTAAAACAGAAAATAAAAAACAGCTAAGACTAATGAAAATAAGGAGATAAGCAGGGGGCTTCCTGGTGGTGCAAGGGGTTAAAGCACAGCACTATGAAGCTATCCATAGCCACTGCAACATGAGTTTGATCCCCAGCCAAGGAGTGACCCACATGGCACAGCAGACCTCTCCTGTCTCGCCTGATGTTCCCTTCAGCAGTGTGTTTCAGTCAGTTTGCCTGTTCGGCTCCCCACTCTGTCTCCGGTGAATCCTCTCACCCCCTGCATCTCTAGCTTGTACCCCAGTTCTTGTATGCATACATAAATAAATCTTAAAAAAAAAAAGAAAAGAAGGATACAAGTTTCCAAAATCTTGGGATGTAACAAAAGGAACTGTAAGAGAAAATAACTGTAATAGAGACCCACATGAAGAAGCAAGAAAACGCCCAACTTGCTAAATTAAAGCAACTTGAAAATGAGGAAGGAACAAGACCCAAAATTAGTAGAAGGAAGGAAATATAAAAATAGGAGCAGAAATAAGTGAGATTAAAAAAAAGACTATACAAAAGATCAATGAAAAGAGTTGGTTCTTAAAGAAGATAATTAAAATAGATAAATTTTTAGCAAGACTAACAAAGAAGATAAAAAACACTAATAAAAAAGATCAGAAGTGGAAGAAGGGACATCCTCACAGATGCACAGAAATACCAAAGATCATGAGATTACTGTGTCAACAATAGCCCAATAAATTTGATAACCTTGAAGAAATGGACAAAGTATAGCTTACCAAAACTAAACTGGGAAGAAACAGAAGAGTTGGACAAATTGATCACAAGCACAGAAATTGAAACAGCAGTAATCTTCCCCAAACAAAAGTCTAGGACCAGATGGCTTTACAAATGATATCTATTAAACCTTTAAAGGGCTCTCCCTCGTGAAGCAATGGGTTAAAGCACAGCACTATGACGCTAGCTGCAGCTGATTCAGCATGAATTGGATCCCCAGCCAGGGAGTGCACAGCAGATCTCTCCTGTCTCTCCAGTTACGCCCCTCAGCAGTGTGCTTTGTCAATCTGCCTGTTCTGCTCCCCACTCTGTCTCTGGTGATTCCTCTTACTTTGCACCTCTGGCCTGTACCCCAGTTCTGTATGCATAAGTAAACAAATCTTTATTTAAAAAAAAAAAAAAAGAATGAAATACCTCAGAATGAATTCTCTATCAAGGGAGAACTAGATGATGTTATTATGGGACTTAGAGTGTGACTGTGAAGAGACAGAAGGGCATTCCGTGCTCATAGAGGTAGGAACTCAACAAAATCAAAACGAATACCTGCCTAAAGCCACAGATAAGCTAATGCAATCTTCATCAAATACTATATTGCAAAGAAACTGAACCCAAAATACTGAAATTTAATGGGACCATAAAAGGGTTTGAATAATAAAAACAAGCCTGAGGAAATGAAAGGGAGGCATCACATTACTTGATATCAAACTATCCTATAAAGCAACAATATTAAAAACTATATAACATTTACACAAAAATAGATACATATCAGTGACACAGAATCAAAAGTTCAGGAATAAATCCACATCCGTATCAGCACCTAATCTACAATCAAGCAGCCATGACCATACTCGGGGAAGGAGAGTCTTTAACAGCAGTCATGCTGGGAAAACAGTAGAAGAATAATGCTGGATCATTCTCTAACTTTACACACAAAGTACATTCCAAATGGATTAAAGGTGAGAATGTAAAACCCGCAAGAATAAAATATATGGAAGAAAACATTGGTGGCATGTTCCATGACACAAAGAAAAATGTTTTTGGAGACCTGACTCCTATGGAAGGGAAATAAAAGCAAAATGAAACAATTAGGATTACTTCAAGTAAACTTTATCTAGTAAGGGGGTTAAAAGTCATCTGACTGAATAAGAGAAAGTATTCATATGATATATAACCAACACGGGTTAGTAGCCAAGATGTAGCAAAGTATATGCTGTTCAACAAGTAACAAACAGCCCAGTAGGCAGCACCTCTTCACCAAAGAGGTTAGCAGAAGGCCAACAGGCAGCTGAAAAAAGTGTCCATTATTATTTCTAGTAAGAGAGATGCAGGTTACAACTGGAATGAGATGGCATCTCTGAATGAGATGGCATCTCTCCACAAGAATGGCATGTATTAAAACAAACAAACAAACAAACAAACAAACAAAAAACCCAACAACAAATGCTGGAGAACACATAGAGAAAGAGGTCTACCTCACTGATGGTGGAAAGGGAGGCTGGTATGGCCATTGTGAAAGTGATTTGGATGCACCTTAAAAAACCTGAAAATGAAAAAAACCCCCTGAAAACGGGGCCCTCTCTGGTGGTGCAACAGGTTAAAGCACAGCACTATGAAGCGACCTGCAGCCTAACAGATGATTGAAAAAGTGGAAAACTCACAAAATTAACAGACATTAATGGATGCAGGCAGGGCGCTGAGGTTAAGAGGGAGGAAAAAGGACGAGAAAACAGAAGGGATGGTGGTGGGGGCAAAAATAAAATCAGCTCACAAAAGAAAACATAACAAAACAAAAATACTCTCCCCTCAAATAGATAATTCAGCTTTTATACTTGTTTACAGACTTATAAAATAAGTATATATTTTTTTCAAAGATGCTATAAAACATGTGGTTATTTACAACTTTTGACTTACAAATAGTTTTGAAAGGCAAAGTAAAACTTATGTCTTTACCTATACGATCCATGATGACTGGAAATCATATTTAGCTATTTGAAATAAAATGTTGGTCAAGAGACTTTTGATACTTTGAAAGGACATAAAAGAACCTCCAGATTCATATAATAAAAGATTCAATTAACTTATTTACATTAGGAAGTACCCAACAGACTATAGTAGCTTAGGGTACAGTTCTATAATGGAGTAGGTGAAATAACATACTTACAAATAAAATATATACTGTATTTGGGTCTTCGGAGCTCCTGAATCAGATAATTCACATTCTCCTAGAAAAGAAAGAACAAGCAAAACAAAATATGAGCAGTGTTTAAGTGAGAAAACAACAAATATCACCCCCTGATTTATGTATTAACTGAGCGTCTACCGCGTACTGAGATCTAGATTAAGTGCATGTTGCTGGGGGCTGAGGGCTGGGTATGTATTAAATATAATGATCAGGATTCATATATAATATCTATATAAGTAGCTGCCCTACCTCAACCAAATTAAGATTAAAAATATAAAGGATACATGTTGAAATGTACCACAAATTGGTAATTCTGTAAATTTGCTTTAAGCTATCTATTCATTTGTTCAAAATTCTTACATAGGACACACAAATGTGTCTAGTCCTTTAAAAACAATATTTAAAATATATTCACTTTTTTTTTCTTTTTAAGATTTATTTATTTGTGCATACAGAACTGGAGTATAGGCCAGAGGCTCAGGGGCGACGAGAGGCCTCACCAGAGACAGAGTGGGGAACAGAACAGGCAGATTGACGAAGTACACTGCTGAGGGGAGCAGCGGGGGGGTCAGGAGAGGTCTGCCGCACCATGTGGTCACCTCTGGGGCAAGTGGGAATCGAACTCATGTGGAAGAGGCTCTAGATTCTCAGTGCTGTGCTTTAACCCGCTGTACCACCAGGGAGGGCCAAATATACTCACTTTTAACTAACTGAGATCTAAGACACTGTGCAACTGCAATGTTTGTGAAATATTTGCAAACAGCAGGCTAAGAACTTTTCTATAATTAATTATTATAAAAATATGTGAAATTTACAAAGACAGTTGATTTTTACATGGTCAAAATCCAAGAATTCCAATTAGATTAGATCAAAATCCAAGCTTCATCTATTTTTGATATTATAACACATGGTTAACTTTCAATATAAATGTGCCCCCAAAATATACATGATATAACATACCAGTTTTAAATGTCAAAATGATATATTTTCTTACAGAATTAAAAGTAATACAAGCAGTGGACATTGCCTGTTACATGGGAAAAGTCTTCAAAATTGTCATTTTGACAATTACCTTTAATATATCTTAAGGAAAAATTGTTTTTAAGACACTTTAAAACTAAAATTACTTCCTCATGAGACAAAGTGACAAAATAAATCAAAAGATTCCTCCTAAGAGAGCTTGAGAGAATATATGGGTAACTGTGAAAGAGATTCAGTAATACAAAATATTAGGAAATGGTAGATTAGGTGATCTCTCAGCCACCTCTTGGAACCCAAATTTCATGACTAAGAGCTTTAAATGCAAAACACTGGAAACCAGAGTAACACAGTATTAATTGATGCTGTCATTAATTTGGAACTATGAGCATCGTCATGTGGTAGGTACCGAGAAAAAGCACATCACTGATCTCTCATAGCCTACTGCTGGTGGGTGAGATATTAAACACGAGCCACCTACAGCTTCAACCATGAAAAGCAATAAAGAGGAGAGGCTTTAAGTGCTTGTGAGAGGGCAGTCAGCAAGGCCAGGGAAGATGTTTTTGAGGAAGTGAAGAAGGTGCCAGCAGAAGGGAGGGCCCTTACAAGTGTCTTTGGCACAATGGACTATAGTAGACTGGACCAAAGGAGGAATGGTTTGAAATGAGGTTGCAGAAATGGTAGGAAGGAGCCCACGCAGGCCACAATTAAAACTGAACACAACTATCATCAAAGCGATGGGAAGTCATTCAAGGATTTCAAGTGGGGAAGAGATGATCAGATTAGTATTGTGGAAAGTACATAATGTCCAAGCACGAGAAAAGAGTGCATGCAAAACAAGGGAATACACAAAATAAGGTTGAAATAGTGAAGGCTTTTTAAACGAGAGACTCAAAACGGATTAAGAAAATGAAGGATCAAAGCTGACAGTTTAAATAACCTTTAATTAGGGGAAGAGAATACATGGAAGACAGGAATGAACCTGTAGAAAGATGTAGAGATGACAAAAACTCAGCCACTGTGCAGCAGGAACTGAGGTAGCACATAGGAGGTTTCTCTTTACCACCAGACCAGGCAAAGGACGGCTATGAGAGCTGAGTACTAAAATACAGTTAGTCAGAGTGGTAAAACTGAACCAGTGTAAGTATGCATAGTGACAAACTGAACACAAACTTGCGCAGAGACATGAAAAAAGTGATGAATGCTCAAGACGCTGATGTAACTATGCAAGTAGGTAAGATTAAAGGGCAACGGTGTTCAGTGCCATTGGTGATGTGGGGATCAATCGGGAATCAAGTCACGTGGGTCTCTGTTGGAGTAGCTGGTGGCTTTAGAAACGGCCAAGCACTTTCTAGAAGGAAGAACTGGCTGTAAGGAGGGAACTAAATGGGAGAAGGAGAGCAAAGATTAAAACTCTGGTCAACCAGGATAATGATGGTGATTCATGGGAATTTATTTTGCCTTCTTCATACTCTCGGATCATCGTGTTCTGCAACCGTCCGGCGGAAGCACACACGGTTCAGCTCATGTAGTACCTTCGTAGGACGAAGAAAACAAATGGCCTTCAGGTGTTTCATGATCTCTCGGTTTTGAGAGTCGATGCGCTCAAACAGGTACACTTCCTTCTGCAGGATCTCCGACTGCGTGTACACCATACTCACGATGCCAGTCTGCAAAGATGAAGGATTCACGGGTATCACGCCGGCCCGGGACGTTAAAAACAAGCAGCAATGCCCAGGCTCACACTCTCACTAGCACTCAGCCGCGCGTCTAAGTACTAGGGTATGTGATAACCTTAACTGAGCGACCAGGTCATGGGCCAGCACGGAAGCCACGCTTCCCAAGCCCCCACCCATCTCCCCTCACCTTAGAGTCCCCCCAGCACCTCTTAAATTCTGCGGCCAGCAAATAATAATCTGACATCAGCTTTACACAACACTGACTGGGAATGAGAACCGCCACCACCCTCAGGTGCGGCGTCTCAGCTCCCGGCAGACCCATTCCCAGGACCCCCGACCCCGTGAGGTATCGGGGTACGAGAAGAAACCCGGTGGTGAGAGCCACTGCGACCCCACGCCAACGCGGTAACTTCTGCACACCCCTCCGCCGTGAGGAGCCGAGCTCCTTCGACGGCGTTCCTCACACGACGGCTTTCCTCACACACCAAAAGCTGGGGCGCCACCGGCCCTGGGAGGAGTGAGGGAGCCCTCGGCCAGGGCGCGAAAGCGGGCTCACCGTCTCTTTATCCATGAGAAGAACTTTCATACCCGGCCCGCTGTCTTCTATCATTTTGGAAATGTACTGCTTCACCGCGAAAACCACGTTCATGGCGGCGAATTGACAGGTGAACCCCACAGTCCCTCCCGCCCCCTTTTCCTGCTAAATGAACCCAGTGGGCCGGGGCTCAGCTTCCTCCCGGCTGGCGGCGCTTCCGGGAGTCCGGGCCGCGGGGCTGCTGGGAGTTGTAGTTCCGCCGTGTGGCCGCGGCTCCGCCCCCTCCCGCCCCCGGGGCCTCGGCCGACCCGTGGCTCGGCGCCCGGCGGCCATTCTCCGCGCCCCGCCGACCGCGCCTGGCGCTCGGCTAGCGGCGGCCGGGCCTCAGCCTTGACTATTTGAAGTGCAAAGACAGACATACCTATTGGCTTATGTTTTATGACACCTTATGCCCTTTGACAAGAAAACGTTAAAGAAAGAAAGAAAGAAAAAACAGTTTCAGAACTGGCAAACTAGCTTCCAAATATTTCTGTAATTTGTTTTGCATTACAATACGATCATAGAAATGGTAGTGGGAAGGTTTGACCTGGTCCATCATGGTCTAAAACAATTTCACAAAAAGACAAAAGTTAGGGAAAAATGTGCTTCAAGTGATTTTAGAGGCTTTTATTTGCGGTCTACTCAACTGCAAATGAAAGAAATTGTCAAATTTTAGCTATACTTGGTGGCTTAATGCTAAGCTTTATGGTAGCAAAACATTAAGTAGTTTTAAACGATTAAGTTACAATTACTCGCGGCAAATTGAGATAAGCCTTTTTTTTCCAGTTTGCATTTTACTATTTGTTTGGGCACATCCCTTTTACACGTCCTTTTTAGAAAGTAGATTGCTGTTATTTGAGGACAGAGAATTTTCCCTCCTATTCACCTAGTGCAGTGGCCTCATACAGAAGATACTCCATAAATATTTCATGTCCGCGATCCTCATTACTGGGCAGACTGCACCCCGGTCCTGGAAGTTAAGTGTACAATTTTGCACAGACAGAACAATGAAGAGATTAATGATATACTCACCGAGGTGTTTCATGCCAAACACTTTATTGAACGAGATGGGGAGATTCTGGGGCAAAGTATCATGGGCGTTCTTTCCAAATCCCAGGTAAATTGCATGGATGTGGATGTGAATTTGATCTCGTTGGTGGTCTTGTGGCGTTACATTGTGTTTAATCCTCTCTAATCACGGCCAGAGAGAGGATTAATTTCATAGAATGGTGGATTTAAAATTTCCTTGAGCTAGCTTCATTTTTTAAAAAAGCATTTCATTTAGCGTTAATGCTTTCGCACGCAGGCAGAGGGCGCCCTCGGATCACGAAGAAGCTCCAAATCTTTTAGCGGCTGTAAGATTTAGGGAAGATGCATTGTTCTAGCTAAAAATAGAAAGTGCTAGTTTTGTGGTTGAGTTTGATCTGTTTTTGTCTTTAGAACTTATTGAATCGTCGCATGAATTGACAGCTTTATAATTTTTTCCTATCTGAAGGAACTAGATACAGGTAATTACTATAAAGATCAACTCCACGAGCATTTTAATTTGGGAGATTAGATTAATAAAGAGTCACAACTAAAGTTTGAGGGTGAGACTAATTATAGCTCCTATTCATGTCTGATGGCAGTTGATCGTATCTCTGTCACTATGAATATATAGCTGAGTGAGGCCATGTGGCGAGAACCTTCCATGCATTATCCTCACAGTAAGCCAGCGACTTCAGTTATGCTGCTAATCTCTTTTTTTTCCTGCTCCCCACTCTCTCTCTGGTGAATCCTCTCACCCCCTGCATCTTTGGCCTGTACCAAACTCTTGTATGCATAAACAAACAAATCTTTTTAAAAAATTAAAAATGAGAAAACAGAAACTTGAAGAGATTGAGTAGAATTCCATTACAAAGTGACAAAACTGAAACTTGAACAAGGAAATGGGAACCCCAGAGTCCACGCTGATACCCCGAATAGGATACTGCAAATGACAGTTCCTTCTGTTCATGCCACAAAATATACAGTTAATAGAGAAACTGGTTTTTTTTCCCCCTTTAATTTCCAATTGTTATTGAAAGACTACAACAACATCCACTCTCACCTAATTTAGTTTAGGTACAATATTTGCAAATTGCACTTTTTACTTATTGGTGACATCATTTAAAATCAGATGTTATAGAAATAGTCAATTCCTGGTCAGAGGAACTGTCAAAAATTTCCTTCAATGCTAATCTGTTTTGAATATTATTACGATTTTTAAGAATTTAGTTTACAAACACGACATTACCTGTTTTCAGATGGGTCTTGAAGTCTGAATCAAGGAATTCTTGATTTGCCCTGGCACTGCTGGATAATTTTCTGGTTACTTGGCTACAATGACTATATAAGCATAGTGATATCTAGTTTATTTTAAAAATGGTTTTCTTTTTTTTCCTGTCAGTTTAAAGACATACAACTGAAGAACTGTTTTCACAAGTTATCCTATCTCAGCTTCATATTTTAACCATTTTTTCACCTTTATAATGATGGGAGAAATAAATGAATTATGTGATGGGTGGATTGTAATATTGGGTTGTTATAAATAACTTTTTTTGCCATATATCTTTGATCTTCGGGTAAGCAATGCATGAATTTATATGGTCATTGCTCACCTGATTTCGCTGAGAGGTTTGTGTTTTTAGAATGGGATTAGCATCACATAAATGAACAGAAATATGATCTACCCTTTAACCCTGTATTTGAAACAATATAATTATGTGGAATTTTATTTACCAATTTTTGTATCCACTGTGTGTTAACTCACCAAAAATGTTAGAGTCCTTGACTATGAAGAGAAAGACGTCCAGCATTATCCAGAAGTGTTTTAATGATTATTATTTCTAGGTCCATGAGCCTAAAATTAGAGAATCTGAAGAATCCTGAGAGTTGGAAGGGAATGTAGAATTGATCTGGCCTGGTGAAAGAGTCTCTCTTCATCCTCTCACAAAGTCAGTGATTATCTGCTTAACTGTCTCCAAATGGGATTGAACTCAGTAGTTCAAAGAAGGCTGTTCCACTTGTGAAGGGTCCATATTGTTAGAAATCTATTCTTTATGTTAGAACCCAAATTAAACTTTCACCCTTTGGACTTAGTTGCCTTCTAAAATCTATATGGAACACATTTGAAGAGCCTTTCAAAGGAGTGCTGTCTCGTGTTCTCCCACTCATTTTTTTTTCTGGCCATAAAACATCCCAGCCTCCTTCAGTCTCTAAATGGCTCCTGAGACCCTCTACCTGGCTGACTGGCCTTTTACTCACAGAAGCGAGTGTATCTGTACCCAGTTGTCTTTGAACTTCAGTGTTCAGGAATACCTGGCCTGCTTGTTAGAAGTGGAAATTCCTGGACCCCCAGATATACTGACTTACTAGATCTGTCTGAGATAGGGCTCTAGAGGCTAGACTTCCAGAATTACCACAGCTAACTCTTTTTTAAAAGAATTATTCCTTGATTTTAAGATTTAAAATTTATTTTTACGTAGAA